TTACGAGTTCGTGGTGATGCCTTTTGGGCTCACCAATGCCCCAGCAGTGTTCATGGATCTCATGAACAGGGTATGCAGGCCGATGCTGGATCGGTCTGTGATTGTATTCATCGACGACATTCTGGTGTATTCGCGGTCTAGGGAGCAGCATGAGGGACATTTGAGGGAGGTCCTCGAGGTACTGAGGTCGGAGAAGCTATATGCAAAATTCTCCAAATGTGACTTCTGGTTACGGGAGGTTCAATTTCTGGGGCACGTTGTAAATCAGGCAGGGATATTGGTCGATCCGGCCAAGGTAGAAGCGGTGATGAATTGGGAGGCACCAAAGTCACCTTCGGAGATCAGGAGTTTCCTTGGGTTGGCAGGGTACTATCGGAGGTTCATTAGGGACTTCTCCAAGATCGCGGTGCCGCTCACCAGATTGACCCGGAAGGGTGTTACATTTTCATGGGGACCCGAGCAGCAGACTTCCTTCGAGACACTTCGCCAGAGACTGTGCGAAGCCCCAGTATTAGCTCTTCCGGAAGGGATGGAGGACTTTGTCGTATATTGCGATGCATCGATTTCGGGACTGGGTGCAGTGTTGATGCAGAGGGGCCATGTGATAGCTTATGCATCGAGGCAGCTGAAGCCTCATGAGGCGAGGTATCCCACGCATGACTTAGAGTTGGGGGCAGTAGTGTTCGCCCTCAAAATTTGGCGTCACTACCTGTACGGGGTTCGTTGTACCATATACATGGACCATAAGAGTTTGAAGTATTTGATGGATCAACCAAACCTAAACATGTGTCAGAGGAGATGGTTAGACATGGTTGAGGATTATGACTGTGGGATCCTATACCACCCAGGCAAGGCTAATGTAGTAGCCGATGCATTGAGTCGTAGGACGGAGAGCACTCCCTTGCGGGACGTATGTTTGAGATTGACAGTGATGACTCCGATATTAGATGCTATTCGTGGGGCACAGGCCGAGGTTGTGAAATCTGGGATGCAGAAACAGGAGCGGGTCGTCGGGTTGATTTCAGAGTTCGTTATGGATGGACGGAGACTTATGACATTTCAGGGTCGGATCTGGGTACCATTCGTGGGCGGTACGCATGTTACTTTGATGGAGGAGGCACACAGATCGAAATTCTCAATCCATCCCGGTGCTACGAAAATGTATTTGGATTTGAGAAAGGAGTACTGGTGGCCTTGCATGAAGAGAGACGTCGCCTGGTTCGTTGAGAGGTGTTTGACCTGCCGTAGGGTTAAGGCCGAGCATCAGAGACCGCACGGTAAGTTGCAACCTTTGGAGATTCCTGAGTGGAAGTGGGAACAGATCACGATGGATTTCATCACTAAATTGCCGAGAACTGCTAGGGGAGTCGATGCGATTTGGGTGATTGTGGATAGGCTAACAAAGAGTGCACACTTCCTTGCCATTAGCGAAAGTTCATCAGCAGAGAAGTTGGCAGAGTTATACGTGAGAGAGATAGTGTCTCGGCATGGGGTACCGATTTCGATTGTTTCGGACCGTGATGTACGTTTCACTTCCAGGTTCTGGAAGAAATTCCATGAGGAGTTGGGTACTAAACTGCATTTTAGTACCGCATACCATCCCCAGACCGACGGTCAGAGCGAGCGGACGATTCAGACATTGGAAGACATGCTTAGAGCGTGTGTGTTAGACTTCGGGGGTAGCTGGGATGCACATCTGCCGTTGGCTGAGTTTTCCTACAACAACAGCCATCATTCGAGCATTGGTATGCCACCTTTTGAGTTGTTGTATGGTAGGAGGTGTCGGACTCCCATTTGCTGGGGAGAAGTGGGACAGAGAGTGATGGGCAGTACGGAGATCGTACTTCAGACGACCGAACAGATTCAACGAGTGAGGCAGAGGTTATTGACCGCCCAGAGCCGACAGAAGAGTTATGCGGACAGACGCCGGTCCGAGCTCGAATTCCAGGTCGGCGACTTCGTTCTCCTAAAGGTTTCTCCTTGGAAAGGGGTGATTCGGTTCAGGAAGAGGGGCAAATTGGGGCCCCGGTTCATAGGCCCATTCCGGGTAATTGCAAGGGTAGGTCGGGTAGCTTATCGGTTGGAGTTGCCAGCGGAGCTGAGTCAGATTCACAATACCTTTCACGTATCACAGTTGAGGAAGTGTATAGCCGATGAAGCAGCAGTGGTTCCGTTAGAAGATATTCAGGTGGATGCGAGCCTGAATTACGCCGAGAGACCAGTAGCTATCAGGGATCGGAAGATCAAGGTTCTACGGAACAAGGAGATACCTCTGGTGTTGGTTCAGTGGCAACATCGGAAGGGATCGGAGATGACGTGGGAGCCGGAAAGAGAAATGCGGGAGCAACATCCGGAGTTATTCGCAGAATGAGACTTCGAGGGCGAAGTCTAGTTCTAGTGGGGGAGAGTTGTAACAGCCCGGAATTTCAGGTATTTCTTTAAATTATTTTTGGGGCACATTTAGGAGGGGACTCGGCGAGTTGGTGCATGACTCGCCGAGTAGGGCCATGGTCTTGGTCGCAGATACGCGACTGGACTCGACGAGTCCAATAGGGACTCGGCGAGTCGACGCTGTTCAGCTGAACCCTAGCCGTTTCGATTCTGAATCGTATATAATGATCTTATGGCCGTCATGTCGCGTCTTTTGGCCGATTGAAGATACCTTGGGAGTTTGTGGGCATCTGGAGCAAGAGTGAGGGCTAGAGGAAGCTTGAAGAGATTGTTAGACAAGGAGAGGCAAGGTAGTGATCAAAGGAAGTCCAAGGAGTCGAGTACTGGAGGTTGGGACACAGGGAACACGTTTCCAGGTAATCTTCGGATCATAATCTGTAGCTTTTACGTTGTATGCGAATTTAGGGTTTAGGAAACCCATTTAAGGAATTGTTAGATTATAGTGTTGTTACAAGTGTTTAAAAACCCCTGTAATAGTATATGTGAAAGTCCAGGAAGCCCCATATCTATATACTTCGAAATCATGCGAAATACAGGAGGCAGCGGGTTGACTGCATGGCTAGGACTCGCCGAGTTGTTCTTCAACTCGGCGAGTAGCTTGAAGATTCACTAGGACTCGCCGAGTTGCTCTCAGACTCGGCGAGTAGCTTGAAGATCTACTAGAACTCGCCGAGTCGTTCTTTAGACTCGGCGAGTGGAGTCGGGGTGTCTATACTCGCCGAGTTGCCCTTTGCACTCGACGAGTCCGGTCAAGATTGACCGTTGACCTGTTGTAACTTAGTAGGGTCAGTTGTCTTGTTTGATAAGATCATTAATAAAGGTATGTGGTATTATAGGGAACCTGCGGATTAGCGGATCGAGTGCGAGTAGCTCGAAGGGTTTATAGCTTGCATACTACGAGGTGAGTCTTCTCACTATACTTCACCCGGAAGGGTTTGACTGCGTGACCGGAAGGTCGTATGTGTTATATTTATGCTATGTCTAGAGAGGTAGACGCTTTATATGTGATGTATGCTTATATGTGATGTATGCTTATACGGGCCGGAAGGCGAGACTTTATGTGATAGAAAGAACGGTATGATGTATGACTTATGTGTTATGTGTGTTATGTTACGTGTGTTATGTTTTATTCTATTATGGGCCGGAAGGCAAAATACTATGGGCCGGAAGGCAATTTAATACGGGCCGGAAGGCGATATGTTACGGGCCGGAAGGCGATTATGTTACTGGCCGGAAGGCAATGTTATGTGGACCGAAAGGTCCGGGCCGGAAGGCGTATGTGGGTAAGTCGTATACTGGGGAACTCACTAAGCATTTATGCTTACTAGTTGTGTTTATGTTTTTCAGGTTCTAGCGATGACCGTGGGAAGGCGCCGGCGTGACACGTACACACTGCCATCGATGAAGATCTTGAGGATTTATTACTTATACGTTTGCAATAAACTTGGAATAAACTCTTTTGTCGAATAATGATGTTTTATTTTAAATGAAAAAGTTATTTGAAAATTTGAATTGTTACAATTACCATTTTACCCTTGCATCTATAAATAATGCTTAATAGCAAATTACTATTTATATGAGAACTGTTATGACTTAAAACTGTAAACGACAAATCATAAAAATTGGCATATACTTAAAAAAACAATTGCTATAAATAATGATACAAATGCAATCATAGTTGGTCAAGATATCATTAAGTAACTTGAATAAAAAAGAAACAAGTACTAAGTCCTATATGCGTCTGAAAGGACTAAGTCATGTCAAGATTTGATAAGAAATTTAAAAATTATGAGAAAACTAGTAAACTTCAAACTTAGAATGTGAAAGGGAAACGGAAACAACCCAGCCACATTAATTTGCAACAATCCACAAGTCATATATGGATTGAAAAAGTACCAAAAGGGACGGAGTACAAAATGGAAAAATCATAAACATATTACCGAAAGGGAGAAACAAACAAGTTAATTGCTTGAAAATTTGTACCTCGTGAGATTCAAGGGCTGAAATCAAGGTTTTAAAAATGTAGTTCGTTGTTGGAGGATCTAAGGTGTTATTATCATGTGGATTTTTGAGCTTGAGCTTACTCTTTTTAACAACCATTTCCACCTGCATACACAAACACAAACATAAACATATCTAGTTATGCTGAAAGATTTTTCAAATTGTTGATTAATTTTTTTTCATACAAACCCAACGCCACCTGTCCATCCCTCCGGTGGCTTCACAAATACAAAACCAGGCCCTTTATTTTAATTTACATTTTATAATAAACCCAAAAATTATTAGGTTTAATTCAATGCAACAAACAACAACCTACTATCATTGATTTGTTTACCATAGGTTTTTTGTTACTAAGAATAATACCTACCTGATTCAATACATAGTAGACTTTGGACCGATTAGGGTAATTAGAAGTCCCTCCATGGAACTTAAAAAAAAAGTTTTAAAGATCCTAACTTTATTCAAAAGATATAGAAAAAGGTTAGAACTTAAAAAAAAAAAATTTAAAGATCCTAACTTTATTCAAAAGAAGAAGAAGAAGAAAAGACTCACTTCAATAGCTCAACCAATCTTGGACATACATTTGCTTCAATAACAGCTTGGATTTTATCATTTGTGCCATCTGAAAGATATGAAAGAGCCCAACAAGCATCTGTCAAAACTTCTTCATCGTTTGAATGAATAAGTTGCTGTAAATCTGGAAGTGCAGGTTTTGTCTGTGAAAAGTCAAGACAAATCAGAATTCATCATTACAAATGTTGAAAAGATAGAGCCAAAAGAACTATGTGGGTAGTTTAGTCTTTTCATAAACAAACCTGACTAAAAGAAGGCTGTGGTTTGCCTCTGCAAAAATTTGAAAGTGTCCATGTGGCATTTCGCAACATGGATAACTTAGCATGCTCATTTAATTGGGATAGTAGAGGAATCAAAGCACCTTGTGCAAGTACAAGGTCATGACATTTAGGGAAATCACCAGCAACATTTCCTAAAGCCCATACAACCTAACATATAGATAAAGTGAAATTGAAGTCATGATAATGAATTTGTGAATTGAGTTTATGAAATACAAAAACCTCTAAAAGATACATGTTCTCTAACATCATCACTTGGAGATGCAAGAAGCTTCACAAATATTGGAACAACACCATGATCAATCACCACTTTTGTGTGTTCAGATGTCCCCGAAGCAATATTAGTCAAAGCCCAAATCATAACGATCCTCTGTAAAAAAGTTAGAAATAGATATGGTAGATATATAATTGAAACCCTCCCCGACTAGAAAAATTACCTTTCCATGCCCTAAAATGATTAATAATGATAGTGGAGCGAGTACTCTATGACAACATTCATAATCATCACGGAAGATTGAGGTATCCATAAAATATGAAACGGAAAAATCATTTTTTACAGAACACTCGCCAATCAGATGACGAAGCTAACAAACATAGGATGGAGAAGTGTGGTGAACCAGAGAGAAGACAAAGGGTGGTGGGTGCCTGGGTGGTTGTCGAGCAGTATGGGGTAGAGAGAGAGAGAGAGAGTGAGAGAGAGAGAGAGAGAGACTTGTAGATTAAGACCATGGCGGATGAGGCATTTTATCAAACATGTTGCGTGCATCATCGATTCTTCCCTATTTACTGTATAAGTCGATTTCTCGATTTCTATTTCTCTTTCTCCCATTCCAGTCTCCGACTTTCTATTGCTATGATAGAGAGTTTCCTTCCGTCGCTAGGATTTGAGTAGTGCCACCACTCCTCCGAAGGCTATGAGTTTTCTCAGTCTAGGTCACTAGACCTAATGTTGCTGGCAAGGGCAGGCGAGGTGAGATTGCCGGAGATAAGGGGCTGCATCGGCTGGGTGATGCTGGAAAGCGTTGGACGGTGGGGCGGGGCTAGATGGAGGTCAGAGGTGGGAGGCGCCAACACCAAGAGAAACGTCGGAGGTGAGAGAAGCTGTCGACGTTGAGAACCGAGAAGAAGAGAAAGGGTTTGTCGAAGTGAGAAGGAGAGAAAGGGAAGTTGAAGAGAGAATGAGCAGTACAGGAGGGCATAATCGGGGCAAGTTCTTGAAAAAAAGCCCTAGCTACTAGGGAAATTAAAGTGGAGAGAGAAAAAAAAGGACGGTGGGATTTTAAGTTTTTGGGATTTCATTTTCCCCGGATGGAACGCGCGCATTCTATTAAAATTTATAAAGCGACGGTCGTAGACGACACGCAGGTGCCCTCCGTGTTTTTTTTTTTTAGACACTAATTTTAGGGCATGCAAAAATGCGCGTCTGAAATCCTTTAAATTTTGGAAGAGATGACATTATTTTTTAGACACTTACCTTTGCGTATCATAAATAACTGTGTGTCATGGTTCGCGCATCGTAAAAGGCTATTTTTCTAGTAGTGTACTGAATGATTATGAGTGTGAGATACGCTATCATCCAGGCAAGGTCAATGTGGTAGCTTAAGCCTTCAGCCGGAAACAGTACTCAGGTAGAAAAGTGAAGGCACTGTCAATAACCATTCATTTCCATTTATTCTCTCAAATTAGAGAGACTCGGCTGGAAGCCTTGAAACGAGAGAATAGGTCGGATGAAGCCTTGAGGGTAATGGAAAAGAACTTAAAGATCATAGGAGACAGAGTCTACTATTTCATAAACCGGATTTGGACCCCAAAGATTGGTGGTTATAGAGAGGTTGTCATGAGAGAAGCTCATAAAACTTGATACTCCGTTCACCCAGGTTCGGATCGATAAGATGTATTTGGATCTCAAAAAGTTATATTCGTAGCCAAATATGAAAGCAGAGATTGCTAGCTTCGTGGGCAAGTGCATGACTTGTGCCAAGGTGAAGGTTAAATATCAGAAGCCCTCAGGTCTACTTTAACAACCAGAAATACCATAGTGGAAGTGGGAATGGTTTACGATGGATTTATCACTAAATTACCCAAGTCTCCGAGTGGGTACGATACCATTTGGGTGATTGTCGACCGATTGACTAAATCCGTCGACTTCCTGACAATCAAAGAAACTTTCAAGATGGAGAGACTGACTCGGATATACATTCAAGAAATAGTTTTCCTGCATGGTGTGCCTATGTCTATTATCTCTAATCGGGAGAGCAGATTCACCTCGAGATTTTGGCAGTCACTACAAAAGGCTCTTGGAACTAAGCTAGATATGAGCACAACTTACGATACGCAAACCGATGGACAGAGTGATAGAACCTTTCAGACATTGGAAGACATGTTGAGGGCATGCGTTATAGATTTTGGTATGTCGTGGGACACCCATTTTCCTTTGGTCGAATACTCCTACAGCAACAGTTATCATACCAATATCAAGGTTGGGTCATCTGAAGCCCTTTATGGCCATAAGTGCACATCCCCTCTATGCTGGGCTGAGGTGGGCAACATGTAGCTAGCCAAGAGGCAAGTCCCCGAGAGCACTCTCAAAGGCCCAGAAATCATCTGGGAACGACTAAAGGCTTCGAGAGATTGACAAAAGAGCTACGCCGATAAGAGACGAAAACCCTTGGAGTTCCATGTTAGTGACCGTGTTCTACTGAAGGTCTCACCCTAGAAAAGCCTTATATGCTTTGGAAAGCGTGGAAAGCTGAATCCGAGATACATAGGATCATTCGAGATCCTCGCTAGGATCGGTCTCGTACCATACAAACTTTGTTTACCCGAAGAGCTTAACAATATTCATCCTGTCTTCCACGTCTCGAACCTTAAAAAGTGTTTATCTAATGAAAGCCATGTGATACCTCTTAATGATATTGAAATCAACAAGAACCTTAACTTCGTGGAAGAACCAGTTGAAATCATGGATCGGGAAACGAAACAAACAAACGAAAGTCGCATACTGATAGTGAAGGTCCACTGGAATGCCAACCGAGGACCTGAATTCACTTGGGAGTGCGAAGATCAAATGAAACAGAAGCATCATTATTTTTTTCCAAGTCCATGATTTGTATTCTATGTTTGACTTTCGAGATGAAATTCCCTCTATTGGGGGGATGATGTGACAACCCGAACCTTTTTACGTTAAAGTTAGCCATTTTCCGTTAAATAAATTTCATATTTTTATTTGTTCCGTTAATATATATGGTTTGGAAAATCATTTAAGTTTTATATAATTAAATTTATATAAGAGTCATAACCAAAAATTGTGCGATAAACCTGAGTTTCATTCGAAAAATCAGCAGTTTCCGTCCTGACTAGTGTTCACGGCCGTGAACCCGATCACGGTCGTAAACCCGTTCACAGCCATAAACTAGTTCACGGCTAGTGGACCCGACCACCGACCATGAACACCCTATATATACGTGATTCCCACCCTCATTTATACTTTTCTAGTTGCGAACACTCTTTCTCTCTCTAAAAATAATCACTCCAAAACACAAGAAAACTAAAGATTTATCTGCATCTATCACTCTAGCCGCCATAGAACACGTTTTGGAGCATCAAACACCCACTTTTCGTCTATTCAACATTGTACTTTTGATTTCAAGGCCGTAAACCTTTCAATAATTCATAAGTTGGGCCGTCAACCCTTCAAACCTTCAAAGACCATCAACCATCCAAGCGAAGTGAACAGTTCATGGCTGTAATCCCCTTGAAGATCATAAACCCTCCCTAAACCATAAATCATGACTGAAAACTACTTTATCTGATTTAATCGAGTTTCGGTAACAGTCCTTAACTGAAAGCAAGTGTTTTTAACACTTTATCAAACATAATCGCTAATATAGATGCATATACATATTTAATTGTTATTAGGATTTCGTTAAGTGCCACGTACATCAAACCAAGGGTCATCATTTCTAATTTCATTGATTCGATGCTTGCACACAACTAATAGTGCATTCATACCCCTGCGCTTTTATGGTTTTTAACATTTTCAGGGGGGAATACAAGCCAAACACAACTGATTTTGTGAACTAATTCAAAAGAATTTCAACAAGTTTAAAACATATGCAATTGATATAGTCAAACAATTTCCACATTTTTTATAAAATACTTAGATCTTTTATCCCTTTTGTAACATGCTGAGCATAAGGGACACTTTCAACTTGAAATCATAATTGCATAGTTTTCAGAACAATTCACGAACCAAGTACATAACATCTCAGGCAAACTATAATGGGTATTGTTTGGGGAATTCTGTACTTAGTTTTTACAGATTCCGACAATATACATGGGCAAACATATAAGCTATGATAGTTTAGGTTTATGATATTCATTACTACATTGGGATAACAAGAGTATAACACTAAATAATTATTTAAGTATAACTATTAGTACTCTACCGAGAATACAAACAATTTAAAATATGAGAAGTCGATACAAAACTACATGTAAACTAGTTAGTACAGGATTGTAAGACAACTCTTCAATTGTAACCTTTGAGGTACTGGTAAAATCTTCAACGTTTAGTGTAACCAGAGTCTCCTAGAAGGAGGGCGTGAGATTTGTGAATAGATCTATTCGAGACTGATAATCCCATACCTAAAATGCTAGCTACAGTTAGGCAGGCATGCCTGGGTGACAAATATCATACCGTACGACGCTGAGGTCATCAGTCATATCAAGCATGGTTATACGACTCACGCTAGTATAAACTAACCTTCGTTTACGGGATTTCATTCTTCATTAGTTTTATTTTAATTAATAGAGCTACTAAACATTACATTGGAGGATTCAAGGGATACAACACTCGATTTATTTTAAATAATAATACTATTGTACATATTGGTGGTCACCAAGGTTTTCAAACAGAGCATACAATAGTTACTGGTAGTAAGCAGGGTTTTCATTCAAAACAATGGTATATGATACAGTTGGTAGTAGCCAGGCATACAAATATTACTTGATACACAACTCACAACACATTAACAAGCATATATGTAAGAAAATATTGGATTTTCTTGGGAAATATGCATACATTTTACAGATTCATGGACAAGTTTTCATTAACAAAAACATTTTATGAACTCACCAGCTTAATGCTGATACTCTTTGAAAATCGCTTGTATTCTCAAGAAACCAGTAGACAGGTACTCCCGCAGATTTTTGAGAAGACGGAGCATATACAGACTTCTCTTTTACATATTTCGTTATACTTTTGATGTACACAAACAATGAAGCAAAAAGATGTAAATATTCATATCTTAATGTAATGGTTGTGTTTACTATGATTACTATGATGCAATTGTTGTAATA